GCACCACAATTCAAAAGCATCAATTCTCTGGCGGTCAGCCTTCTTTTTGGTCCAACTCTCACTTGCATACATTGCTACTGGAAAAACCATAGCTTTGACTATGCGGATCTTTGTCGGCAAGGTGATGTCTCCGCTTTTTAAGATGCTGTCTAGGTTTGTCATTGCTTTCCTCCCAAGAAGCAGGGGTCTTTTACTTTCGTGGCCACTGTCACCATCTGCAGTGATCATGAAACCCAAGAAAGTGAAAGCTGTCACTGCCTCCATATCTTCCCCTTCTATTTGCCAGGAGGTGATGGGACCAGTGGCCATGATCTTAGTTTTTTTGATGTTGAGCTTCAGACCATTTTTTTGGGCTCTCCTCTCTCACCCTCATTACGAGGTTCTTTAATTCCTCCTCACTTTCTGCCATCAGAGTGGTATCATCTGCATATTGGAGGTTATTGACATTTCTTCTGGCAGTCTTAATTCCGCTTTGGGATTCCTCCAGTCCAGCCTTTCGTATGATGTATTTTGCATACAGGTATAAGTTAGATAAGCAGGGGGACAATATACAGCCTTGTCGTACTCCTTTCCCAATTTTGAACCAATCAGTTTTTCCATATCCAGTTCTGTTGCTTCCTGTCCCACATATAGATTTCTCAGGAGATAGATCAGGTGGTCAGGCACTCCCGTTTCTTTAAGAACTTGCCATAGTTTGCTGTGGTCCATACAGTCAAAGGCTTTTGCGTAGTCAATGAAGCAGAAGTAGATGTTTTTCTGGAACTCCCTGGCTTTCTCCCTAATCCAGAGCATGTTAGCAATTTGGTCTCTAGTTCCTCTGCTCCTTTGAAATCCAGCTTGTACTTCTGGGAGTTGTCAGTCCATATACTGCTGAAGCCTACCTTGTAGGATTTGGAGCATACCTTGCTAGTGTGTGAAATGATTGCAGTTTTATGGTAGTTGGAGCATTCTTTGGTACTGCCCTTCTTTGGGATTGGGATGTAGACTGATCTGTTCCAACCCTCTGGCCACTGTTGAGTTTTCCAAACTTGCTGGCATATTGAGTGTAGCACCTTAACAGCATCATATTTTAAGATTTTAAATAGTTCAACTGGAATGCCATCACCTCCACTTTGTTGTCAGCCATGCTTTCTAAGGCCCACTGGACTTCACTCATCAGGATGTTTGGCTCAAGGTCAGCAATCACATTATCTGGGTTGTCCGTGATATCCAGATCTTTCTGGTATAATTCCTCTGTGTATTCTTGCCACCTCTTCTTGATGTCTTCTGCTTCTGTTAGGTCCCTAACATTTTTGTCCTTTATCGTGTTCATCTTTGCACGAAATGTTCCTTTAATATCTTCAATTTTCTTCAACAGATCTCGACAGATCTCTTGTTTTCCCTTTCTATTATTTGCAACCACTACCAGCATGTTTATTGGATGGAACAACCAGTGCTGGAAACAGTCCAAGGGCAGGTCCTTCACCAGAAGATCCACACACACACATTTGGCCCAATTCTTGTCAAAATGGGATGACTGACTATATAGAAACTAGTTTCTCATGAATGCCACTGTGATCTTGGACACCCCACTAACATGACTGTTGCTTTCACAACTCTTGGTATCTTTCAGTCACAGCCTAAGCAGCTGTTTGCCAGAGGTTTGCAGAGTTACATTTCCCCAGTTCCCTTGCCTGCCTGCCTACCTACCTAATGCCTCTTTGTTACCAAGAGCTCTGCTTTCTTCCTTGTCCCTATGGCTAAATTCACCCCGTTAATGTCATCTTTTTCTAGGCCTGTGAAAGGGATCTCCAGTGTGGAGGTGGGACATGTTGCGCCATCAGCTTGTGGCTACGTGGGCTCCGAATGTGTACTCCGCTGGGGCAAGAAGGAGATGAATGCCACCCTATTAGCCATAAGGTATTGCATGACTCAATAACCGGTACCAATTTCTTTAAGGACCGATAACAGAACAGTAGGACCGCTCCTAGATTTCTTGGGGTGTTTTGCTTTTGTTCTCGGTTTGGTTGTTTTTGTTTAACACCATTTCTGAAATTGCATTATATTAACTGGCAAGGGCAAGATCATGCTCATTCCTTGCTGTCATCTCCTGCATTTTAGACAACAAGCAGAGCTGGGGAAAATAGCTGTTTTAGACCGTTATCTCTGGGCAGAAACTAATGTAGAGTCAGAGGGGGCTTTGCCCCAAGGTACCAACATTTAAAAGATTTCCTTTGGGGTGGGGGTGGAGCTTAACCTTTATCTTCCTTTTTAGGGAGCACCACATTCTCCTCCAGTTCCTCCTTTTTCTTGTGGGGCTCCATGTGTCAGGGCAGAGTGGGTGGGAGTTGGGGATGACTTGTCCCAGGTACCAAAATTGCTAGTTACAACTTTGTACACTCCTCAAAATATCTCAGCCTATGGAACGCATATTGGGAGTTGAAGTTTAAAAGAAGCATCTCTGATTACCAAGCATATCCACTGAATGCCTGACTAGGATTATACAGTGAAATATAATAATGGGCTCAAGTTAGAGGGAGCCAGATTTTGACTGAATACCAAGAAAAGCTTCCCAACTTTTAGAACAGTATGGCAATGGAACCAATTGCCTTGGGAGGTGCTCCAATGCTGGAGGCATTCAAGAGAAAATTAGACAGATCTACTTCAATTCCTGGATTGAGCAGGGGGTTGGATCTTTCAACGACATTATTCTATGATTCATGCCAGGACATGGCTTTTTAAACGTATGTGCTAGTTTTCTGTGCTCTTTTCTTTATTTTGATTCCACTGATAACATATTATTCATGTTCTCTGTTTTCTCTTGTGTCTTGAAGGTCCCCTTCTTTGGAAAGCGACAGCATCACACCTGTCCATGTTTGCCAAATTATGTGTGCTCCAGATTCATCGATGGCCGATATAGATGCTCATTAGACTTCAAGAGCATGGACTTTTAATGAAAATGAAAGTGTTTCATGGTGGTCCTTATTGAAAAATCCCTGCCATATACATTAATTACTTATCTTCAGTGTCCTAAAAGGACAATTCAGTATCCATTTACATAAGCATTGTCCATTGACTTAAATGTGGTTCAATGGCCACAGCCAGAATATACCGGAACAAACAAATTCGGGCAAGAGGTCAGAGCTGAAGCTGCTTAGCTGATGGCAATTCACCACAGAAAGTTACACCATTGAAGTTAACATTGGTCTAACACTGTCTTCCTAAGTGCACCATCCACCGCAATTTCCTAACATATGCAAAATAATTTATACATTAGAATATATAAAACATACTTGCCAGTATCCTGCTCAACGTTTATATGTGCAAAAGTTTAACTGTGGAAGCTGCCACAGCCATCTGATGAGGTGCTTCTCAGATCGTCATGGTAGTTAGAACTCCATGCATAGCTATATATTGCAAGGGATACTGGGCAGTGTGTTTTCCCATGGTATATTTATGCAGATCACGTAACCTAATATAGAAACTAGAAGTGGAAAGTACGGTGCCTGGTCATCCCCAATGCACAAAACTGTCCTGTGTGAGCTGTTTCTTCCTACCTGGAAGAAATTATGAAGCATCTTTTCATATGTGAAATTTTGATCAGAAAAGCCCAACCACAGCATGAAATGTATGGCACTAGCCAGAGCAAGGTGTTTCCTAGCTGTGGCTCAAATGCTTGCTGCTGAGGCATATTAAACATTCTTGCCTGCATGCGAGGATGCAGTGCCATTACTGTAGAAGGTCACAAGGTGGCAGTGAAAGTGCAGAAGCAACTGCTTTGGCATTGTACAGATAGCGAGTGACTAAGCCAAGGAGCAGTGTGGAGAGATAGGTGAGCAGGCATAGGGTGACGTTGGTAGCCTGTGCTGGGGACACTTCGGCCCATGTTGTTGCCAAGTGCCACTCTGGTGCAGAACAGGATAAGTGGACTAGGCTTGTTTTTTCTTGCTTCCGTGATTGCTGTTACACGATTGTGTCACATAATAAGATTCTGGTCTAAATGTTTGTTTTGCATCTTAAAACAAAAGAGTAGGTGCTTTAATTTTTTTTTTAAATGCTTGAAGTTTTGTTAACATTTCTCTGGGGAGAAGCAGAACTGGAGAGAAGTAGAACTGGTTTTGCGGCTGACCCAAAAGCCAACTCATCATTTTATTTGGCCAGCCCCTGATGGAAAGAAGAACAGCTCCTCTTGATACGGTTTCAGATGGAAGCTTTGATAAAGTGTGGATCCACAGCAGGCTAACAACTTCAGATACACATATCTATAATACAGCATCAAGAACATTGCTTTGAGTGTGGGTAGAAGCCAGATATTATTGGGGCTTAAATATATACTATACCATAATATGGAATGTTCCTTTGTATTGTGCAGCTATGGGTCTTCTACTGTTATGTGTGTGTCAAAATGTAATATGGATTATTTTTCTGTACTTTAGCATAAAATCACGTATGTATGGAACTTCCACCTTTTTATGTAATTGTTATTGAAATGTTTTTGGCTAGAGGCATGACTGAAAGATGGAAAACGTCTCTGGGCATGTACACTCATGCTAAACCTACCACTGATTAATGAGTTGTGCCATTTCTCTATAGCTTTAAAATCCTACTTTACCAGAGGTTCATTTCTACCATCTCTACCGCCAGAACATTTTCCTTACAAAAATAGATATTACTGTACAGTATTAGAAAACTGAAAAGGCACTTTGTGCCCTCTAGAGGCCAACTTTTTTTTTAAAGTAGAGCTCCTCTGAAAGAAAAAAAGATGCCTGTTTGTTCTAATGTGAGCTTTCTTCAGTTCCTTACATTGCAAATTAGGGTTAGGGCATGGTTACACTACGAAAATGAATCAAAGGAGGCACTGGAATTTGGAAATTGGTTTAAGGTCATGTGGTAGTCACATGGTTTCTGTGTGTCCTCTTGGAAAAATTTTAATCTATTTTTAAACTCTGTTATATATAGTCAATGGGGTTGCATGGGTATTTAGAATCGTGTTTGAGGCTTTGTCCTGCGTCTGCCTACTGACACTGGCTGCCTTCAACTGACCAAAGACATTGACTGGATCAGCACTTCTAGGCTTGTGAAAGAGGGAGACAGATGCACGCAGAGGATGGAGAAGGAAAGGGAGCAAGGAACTGCTAACTGGGTGGTGAGAGAGAAGCCACACCAGTGAGTGCAAAATCCCACAGACAAAATTTACACCAATGGAGGCATTCATATATGCCAAAACAATTCAAAATGAGTTAATTTCACAATCAATTACCTTCTTGCAGCCAAATAAAACGCCTTGCTTTCCAACAACAACAACAACAACAAACATGATTTCTAGGCAAATAAATCCACACTTCCATGTGCATCATGTAGTCACCTTTTAAAAAACTGGTTTCAAACATGCTAAATGTAATTTAAATATAGTTTTCCCCATGTATAACCACACTTTTACTTTCATTTCTCTGGAAAGTAAGCACAGCCTTTATGTCCTTATGTTTGATCAGGCACAAAGTGCTGAAAGAATACCACCACTAGAAGGATAACATGTTATCAGTTTCTAACAATGTGCCAACTGTAGCACATAGTTTGACCCTGAGAGAAAATTGAAGACATTGGAGAAACTGAACTCAAAGTCGAGAATATTGACCATATTGTGGGGTAGAGGGAGCATACAAACAAAACCTAACTAGTGTTCTGTTCCTCTGTTGCTCCCTACATAAATGGGAATCACGCAAGTGTGATGCACCTTTCTTTATTTTCAGTATTGCAGTTTCACCAATATACGATCCTCCTTGACTTGTCAGATACAACATTATAATCCTTCCATTCGTTTTTTTCTTGTAGCAAATGCAGAGACAGACTTTATCTACAAGTAAAATTTCTTGGCATCAATGACTAAATTTGTTTTTCTTTCAGGGACATCTTACTGGCCTTTTAAAGTGTACAACATTATTAACATCTGTGTGAATACACTTGATATAGGAATATCATAGGAATCTCCTATTCTAGGACATCCTATTCCTACGCATCACCCTTAGAATGAGTAAAGAATATAGGTACCAGATTCAGTCCATTAACATAAACCTGGTGAAGGGTTAAACCTCTCTGAACAGTCATAAAGTCAGGGACGAGATTCCCGCTAAGCTGGGCACGTGCCTGCACGTGCGCACAACTCTGCTTCCCTCCACGCTGCTATCTTCCTCCTCCGGACAGTGATCACATTAGGTTCTGGTGGCGATGGAATCCAGCGCACAGGGGGGGGCAGAGTCACGCACATACACAGAGGTGGAGTTGCATGCACAAGAGGCAGAGTCCCACTGAAAATTAGAGGGTACGTTGATCAGGGATGATGGCAAGTCTTTGGATCCAAGTCTCAAGTCTGACTTTGAGTCTTTGATACAAATCCCCAAGCCCCAAGTCTCTATTAAAAACAAGATTTTTTTTCCCCGTAGAAAAAATGGGAGGTGTGGGTGGGTTCTGAGTCAAGTCCAAGTCATTGGACACCCCCCCCCGAGTCAAGTCCGAGATACCAGTGTAACCATCTTGACTTGAGTCTGCATATAGTACACCTACAGAAGGTGCCAAATTCAGTCCCCAGATTCAAGGAAAGGCTGAAAGAGCTTCTTATCTGGAATCCTGGAAAGCTTCCGTCAGCCAATGTAAACTAGGTGGATCAGTGGTATGAGACAGTTTCCTACATTCCCATTTCCAGCACACTGAAATTTGTTTCTTTCTGTGATTATATCTTGGCAGTCTTGGTCCAAGGATCTGTTGGCAGGCAGGTAGATTCTTAATATATTGCCCATTTTGGACATCTTCGTTCTTTCTTATAATTGCTCATTGTTGTCATCCATTCCCTACCCATAAATGTACAGAATGGTGATTCAGATAGATCTCTTTGAAATGAATGATGATTAAGGCTATTGTTTCTGCTTCCCTTGTCATTTCATAGTGAGATGAAGAGAGACAGGCTTCATGCTTGCTTGCCCTTTGAACAGGCAGGAAGTCATGGGGTGGGGGAAGGCCAGCTGCAAGAATCCAGTGAAGCCAGAATGAACGGTAATGATGCATAGTCTTGTTTCTGTTACAAAGAGTCTTGAAATAGGTGATTAGTCATGAGCATGTTTGTGCATTCATGCAAGCATGCATGTGTGCTTGACACAGGGAGTTCAAAAAGGGTTCAGAAAACAAAAAATTCTGGATTATGCTGCTCAAAGAATAGGGGTGTAGTAAAAGGTGCTGTCATAACCTCAGCTTGGTAAAATTACTTTTAGAACTACAATGCCCACAATTGTCCAGCCAGAATGACTGCTGTGCCAGCTGGAAAATTCTGGAAGTGCTCTAGGCCAAAGCTTAAGACCTTGATTATTGGGTGATGGGGAACTATCTGAAGAGATAAGCTGAAAAGCAAGCAAGCAAGAGAACTGTGAGAAGGGCTGGACCCCATAATTCAAAAGAGGGTGCTGCAATATGTGTAGACTAATTGCCTGCAAATAGCAGAGAGGTGGCCTATGAGCTGGCATTTGCCATCTCTGTAACACCCTCATTTGGCACATCTGCTCCTCCTCCTGCTGCTTCTCTGTTGCGAGGAAGAAAAAGATTCCATCTGGGCTGACATAATTCTTGCCAGATGCGAACTGCAGCAACTATGCTGATCAGCCTTGCTTGTCAGCACCATCTGTGATGTCCTGATTTTGGGGTGGAGAACTCCTCTGCTGCACAAAAAAGGAAGAAACAGAAGAAATGGTCCAGATGCTTGCCAAGTTTCACCATGTTTTAGGCCAGGTCACTAAGCTTGGCACATGTGTGCAAAAGAGAGTACTTGCCACACAGCGTTCTAATAGGTTTAGGGAAGAATCTTCTTCCATATAAGACAGTGTTCCCCAGACTGGGAATCATAATTCCCAAAAGGGTTGCTGTGGCGTTCACCCTTATTAGGCTGAATAGGTTGTGCATTATTCATGTTTTATGCTGATGTGGTGGAGAGGCGGAGCTGAGAGAGAGATTAAAAGGCGGAGTCAGAGAGTTAGAAGCGGGAGAAAGAGTAAAGTTCAGTCAGAGTTAGAGAGAGAGAGAGAGAGAATCTGAGGAGTGATTAGTCTGAGGAGTGAATAGTAACCTGTAAGATAATATAGAAGATTCTTATTGATACTTGATGAACCTGAAGAAGATACTTATGAATTATTATAGAAACATCTGTAATCAATAAACCTGTTTTATTCAAAAGACAGTGATGAATGGACCTTCGTCTTTCCTAAGTAAAGTATGTTGATTTAGTGATCAACTGGTGGCAGCCTGTGAAAAGGTGTTTGGTTGGCCTTCGTGAGCTCTCTGTTTTGGGGAGACAAACAGGGGCCAGGAGGGGCAAACGTCACAGTTGCAAAGTGGCAGCCAGCTACATAGTTTGCTGGAAAATAAGAAAAATGTGAAGTTTGTAAATGCAAGATAATCGACAGACAAATAGATGCCCAGACAGGGTTTTGTATACCTTCTGAATTTCCACACAATGTGTCAGACCTCCAGTTGCCTCAACTTCATTTCAGTTCTGCCTCAAACAGGAGCTAATAATGATATTTTTAATAGCCATGAAATTACCGAATCAAAAGAGAAAACTGTATAGATCCTCACTGCAGACATCCCACAGGACATCCCTTCTTAGTGTGAGAGATGAAGACTTTTAAAAATCCTCCTAAGTCTTTTGAACTATGGTCCCAAAGTAGTAGAAGTACCTAGCATCCATCAAATCAAATTTTGACAGGTGCCACGCCCCTTTGAGGTGGGACAAAAGGTCAAAAATGGACCCAGGCCCCTCCCCTGGTGGGCGAGGCTTTAGGGATGACATAAGGGGTTGGTGAGGTTACCGTGGACATATAGGAGGGGTTCATAGATGCCGCGGTCCCCCGTGACCAGAGCGCAACCTGAGGATTGGCCCCTGAAGTGATGTGTCGCCCCTGTGGCCCTGTAGGCCAATGGGGAGCAGTTGAAGGGGTATGGCTAGAAAAGGGGGGGCCATAGGCCACCTGGAACTGAAACTATACAGTGGTTGCTGAAACGCCGCAGTGGTGATTTTGGAGGCCCTTTCAGTGCTTTTAAAGAGTGTTAATCTCTCCACTTTGTCCTGCCTGAAAGGGGTGGGGCACCTGTCAAAATCTGATTTGATAGATGTACTTATACTACTTCCCAAGACCATTTTAAATCTTTTTGTTTCAAAACTAGTCTTATATAATTTGGTTTTATTTTCTCTCTTGCCAGCATGAAATTTGACTCTATAATTTGTCAGGGTTTTTTTTTGTGCTTTAATATTTTACGCTTTGGAAACTGCCCAAAGAACATTGGGCTTCTTATATAAATAACGCAAACATCCCATATAAAGACCACAAACAAACATCACCAGCAATGTTGAATATGGGCTAATGGCACTTGTGCAAATACTGTATATTGCATATAGCAATGAGGGTGCTGACTGGGGAATCAATCTGTTTTCCACCTAATCTAATTTTCTGTAGGAACACATTACTGAAGAAAATGTGATATGTATGCATAAAATACATGGCACAACTATTGCATGAAAACTGCACAGTCCTTAATCACTTAGGAGAACAATTAGAGAATTGTGGAATGAACCTCCCTCTGTACATTATACTGGAGAAGTAGGCAATTTTCAATGTCAAAAAAAGCAACAAACAAAACTGTCTGATGTTGTAACTTGTAACTATACAGTTAGGAACTTTGTGGTACAGTTGTTAAACTGAAGTACTGCAGTCAAAACTCTGCTCAAGGTAAACCTTTGATGTCAGTTCTTAACTCATTAAAAAAATAAAATAAA